GCGCCCGCGATGCAAGTTTGCCAGGCAATTATTAAAGATGGAGCGAGAAACCCAACTTTCCCAATTATAATTACAAGCATAGATACAACTACAGCTGGTACTACGAAGCCACATACATCCTGCACCATCCTCTGGGCCGTCCGCACCCCCTCCGACCTCCCCCATCCCATCCTCCACGAACTAACACACCTCGCCCACCTCGCCGCAAAATACAACATCTCCCTCACCACCATCCCACACATCGACTCTCACGCGCAATTCATCACACAAGCCGACATCCAAGTCGCCCTCATTTCTCCTCCTTCTCCCCACCACCACCCGAGAGCAAACTCCCCCTCGTGGCGGGAATGGATTATGGACCTCCTCGGCGCTGGGGAGAAGAAGCATAGTGGTGGGGATATGCATGACCCTAGGGATAAATATATCTTCGTCAGCGGGCCAGAGGGTTTCATCAAATTTTTCGCGGGGGAGAAGGGCGAGGATGGGGAAAGTCAGGGGAGTGTTGGGGGGGTGGTGAGGGAAGTAGTTAGGTGGGGAAGGGAGCTGGAGAGGAAGGCGTTGGAAGGTGTGAGGGAGGAAAGGAAGGCCGAGGAGGAGGAGGCGGGGGAGGAGGAAGAGAGGAAGGTCGGGGGGGTGAGGAGAGCGAGGTGGTTTGTTTGGAAGCTATGAGGGCGGGGATGTTTGGTGACGCGGGCGGGAGGATAGTGGGGTTAGGGGAGTAGTGCGTGTGTAAGATAAGATAGGATAGGGTAGCATAGGATGTATATGTTACTATAGGCTCACTGGCGGATAAATATGCAGATGAGGAAGAGGAGAAGACCTCCACATCTAGTCGGAGGTCGTTGTGCCAACCAGACTACTCCACATCCCACCATTGGTCCCAACAGCCACTTCAGGGTAACCACCTCCCGTGAAATAAGCCAAACGAAGGCACTTGCATAGCGGTACACAGTTGGCCTAGTACATAGTACGAGCGATCAAGAACCCATTTAATCGCTGTTCTTTGTGTAGGAATATTCACTTTAGAGACGGATTGCCACTATTTTGCCATCGATCTAAATCTTTGTGTATAGCAAATGGTTTTACAACCTTGCCATATGCGAGTATTGAAATAAAAAAAATTAAAAAAAAAATAAAAAAGGGTTTTACAACAACCTAAATGGATTTGGTGTCAAAACCATGATCGCATTTAATCGATCGATTATTTTAGGTTTGAATACCCTAGTGAGACTAAGTTCGTCTTCTCTATTCCCTTGGGTGCGCCGGCGCTTTGACATCAGTGCACTAAAGTGAAGTGGCGATTGCCAAGATACAGTACAGTACTGTAGATAGAGTTAGTCTGGAGGTGGCAACCAGGAGGTGGGTCGTGCCAACCAGACTAAGATAGAGTACACATTTATACCTCCTCGGCAAAGAACTTGAAACCACAAGAAGATTCCACCACGAGGTAGGGAAAAAGAAAGGCACAGAATCCACAACTACAGCTATGGGAAAGCGCAAGACCTCAAAACTTGCAAAGGAGCTTAAGCTCACGGCAGAGGAGGAGGATGAGATACGAGAAGCGTTTGACATGTTCGTGGACAAAGATGAGGCCTCCAATGTAATTCAAACTACAAATGTGAGAAGGGCTATGTTGTATGTATTTCATCCTGATCCCTAGTATCTTTCCATTGAGCTCCTCCATATGATAGGACTAATATACTCACGTGAATTTTCATAGGGCGTTGGGTTTCGAGTCGTCAAGAGTAGAAATGTCTGAGATAATTAATACCCTTGATCCAGAAAATGAAGGGATTGTGATGTGGGACAGCTTCATACGGCTATGTGCACTAAAAATGAAATGTACTAATTTTCCATACTTATCTGTGAAGAGTCACTAATACCTGGGCCTGTGTAGATCGGGACGAACAAGAGGAACTTGAACGCGCATACAGGCTGTTCACTAACAACACTGATGGACCTATAACCATCTTCGACTTGAAGAGAATAGCGAGGGAGCTAAAGGAGAATGTGACAGACGAACAATTAACGGACATGCTTATAGAAGCATCTGGCGGGATGACCGTAAATCTGTGAGCCCCACTGATCTTGTGAATTAATGACGAATATCATTAAACCATCATTCTAGAAACGAGTTTGAAGGCGTGATGAAGAGAGCAGGAGTACTGTAATGTACTCTACAGATTTTTGAAAATGCTCTATTCTTCTGTTGTGGGCCGCTGAAACCTCGCAAGACTCCGTTGAACCTGCAACTCAACACTGCTGAACCTTTGATGGGCATGAAATTGCATGTCTTGCTCTTATCATGTATTCACGCCATAGCCTTTTACCATATAACTGTCCATCCTAAATCAAGATCTTTTTCGTCTTCTCGATCATTGTGTCTGCGGTGAAATTAAAACTACACTATCGCCTAACCCCCAATTGTCAGTATCCATTAAGTGGCTGGTACGCAAGTAAAATTGCCTTTTCCCATTCAACATACCTCTCACAAAAAGCATCTCGCTCGTCTTCTTAACAGTCTAGACCGAAGACACTTCGTAAGCCCAATTCTCTCCTTGAAGGACAGCCAACTACCCCATCACTCACTCGTATGGTATCATCATCATCCTCATCTCCAACTATATAAATCGTCTCCTCAACATCCCCTAAACCACAGTCAGTTCTCAGTCAGAAAGTGTATGTATGGTTCTCAACTGCCAACAGTTGGGGTTGTACCAAGAATTAAGTTGCAATGGGAGTCAAACGCCTACCAGAGACTCTGTTAGTATCAGCCTGAAAGGGGTGTTAGGAAGGATGAGCCTACATGTAACCGCCCTTTGAGCTCTCGATCTCCTCTCAGCTTGACAAACACATGCTCGTCTAACGACAGGCGGACTAGATCAAGACTATTATGGCTATTAATTACATTGTCGAATGGTCGCATAGGAATGCTCACGGTTCGGAAACAGCAGCTACTGATTCATCGCCTTCAGCCATTTTGAATTTGGTGATGAGATTAGCAACGGAAGCCTTGAGAACTACCTAGGGTATGTGTGCATGGCTTGAATTTACGCTAGGGTAAGAGACAGTCTAGTTATACTGAAGTATTACTTAGCATAAACTAGTACTAATACAGCGAACGGCTCCAAACGTATCTCTTAGTCTGGTTGGCACTATCTCTATACGAGATGTTGTCGCTCGCTACGCTCACGTAAAATCTAGGGGCAGATAATAATACTTTTTCCAACATATAACTTAAATGCAATAAACCGTACTGAAGGTATTGAATATTAAAATAAGATATTAATAATTCGGAATATACAATATTGCTTGTAGTAACAGGAGAGATAGAACTTTTTTTTTTTTTATTTTTTTTTTATTTAATTCAATACTCGCATAAGGCATGACCACGGCGAGGTTCAGGTAGGCCTAAAGCCCTACACTCCCTATTCCCAGAGCCATCTCTCTCCACACAACATTTCCCAAGCAGTCAATATCCTCCCAAGACCCGAACCTCCTACCCAGCCACTCACCTTCCCCGCATACCAGGGCAATGTGGCACCCAGACTCCTCGTATTTCCCGCAATACCTGTAGGATGCATTCCCATCTTCTTGCCCCAGTATCCGCTTCCAGATGGCAAAATCACCTTTACCGCTATGGCATCTGGAGTAATTTACCACCGCCTTCCTGTTCTACCGGACCACTCTTCCCAAGCCATAACCAAACACCTTTCTCTCCCTACGGCACATCTCCTTATACCACTACTTTATTCCCCTTTCGGTTAATATATGAACACCCCTCTTATGCACCCCAGCCTCCGCCACCACATCCGCTCTCTCATTCCCCTCAATCCCAATATGAGACTTAACCCACTCGAAATGAGTCTTTGTCATTGCACTACCCAGCTTTGACATGATCTGCTTCATATCGTGAGTTCTAGCCCGTCCCCTCTTCCCCGCCTTGACCAGGCTCATGATAGCCACCTGGAGATAGAACTTCGTAGTACAGCAAAATTAGCTACATTAGTTACTTGCGACAGCTATATAAAACTGTCCATATATAAATGCAGAAGTACATAAATCCATCCCAACAACACCTAATGTTTGTCCCTGCAATTTATTGATAGTCATTACAAAAGAAAGCTTAATAGGAAATTGTTTGCATCTTAAAATAAATGGAAGTTCTCCTTCTGTAGTAGCCAATAAAATCCGAGGTATAAGTTTTCTTTTCCTATCAAATTCTCTACCCAAAATCTGTAGTATAGCTAGTAATTTTTTGGTATAGCTGTTGGTATTACTACGTATATAGGTGGCGGTATTGTTGTAATAGTATTGTAGCATATATAGCTGGCAGTATGGCTGTATATATAGCTAGTAGTATTGGTATTGCTAAGTATATAACTATCTGTATCGCTGTCGGTATAGCTGGTAGTATTGCTGTATATATAGCTGGCGGTATTTGCTAGGTATATGATTATCAGTATTATTATGTATATAGCTAGTGGTATTACTGTATATATAGCTGGCATATTGCTAGGTATATGACTGTCAGTATTGCTAGGTATATAACTGGTAATATTACTGAGTATATAACTCTCGGTATAGCTAGCGGTATTGCTGTATATATAGCTGGTAGTATTGCTATTGGGTATAGCTGGCAGTATTGCTGACTATATGACTGGAAATATTGCAGCGTATATAACTGGATATTAAGTGAATAGTTAGATGTCTCACTTAAGCAAAGGGTATTTTGCGCATAGAGTGTATATGCCGGAACATTTGTCTACTGGATATTAAGCAGTCTCACTTAAGCAAAGGTATTTTGCGCATGGGATATACATGTCGGAATATTCGAGCGCTATCCATAGAGCTATTCCGTCAAATACCTGGCATTATAGGACCACACCGGCCCCCCCCCCATCGCCAATAAAAATGCAAATAAAATAAAAATTCCCTCTTAACTATCTGGAGCTTTCAACCACCTCAAATAAAAGTAAATAAAAGGAATACCTAATACCTGCTCACAACTGTGATTTCGAACACAGGGTCTCGTCATAAATAATCCAGCCACCTACGCCGAGCGGTAGGTGCAATACTAGTGACGCGCTTTACCAACTAAGCCATGCGAGCTGTGCATGTAAAGGTGAAGATCCTTAATTTAGTTTGATAGAGGCATTTGGTTATGTTGGTTTGGTGTGGCCTGTTTAGATTTTTGTATAACGTTTGTTGCCTACATATCATACTGGATATGACGTTGGATGAGAATGACCGATCATATTTATAACTCACCCTTCGATTTTGAGATAACAACTCATTTTATGTGGTCACTATGTACTGTACATTCATGAAATAATGTCAGGGATCAACACAATATACGCGGGGGGGAAAAAGTTCGAAAAAGAATACGCTATGCCCCCCCCGAGTTTAAATTCAAGCTTATGCAACTTTGTGTGCAAAAGAACGGTAACCGCAAGTTATAAACCTGCATCATATCTTTCAATAGCATTTGGCCATGCCAGTAGATTGAGCGTCATATTGTATGATCGCTTATATCCATTAAGCTCAGAACACACAAGCAGCTGCGCTATTCTCAGACGTATTCCCCCAGCAAAACTTGTTCGTAGGCTAGAGGTGGACGGTATATATTGGATTCTCACTTGTGATTTAGATCTAACAAAAAGGCTTATTGGCACAACACACTCCGTAGGACTTATTAGTTTACTAGTAGTACTAGTACAATTATATCATCAGGGGCGTCATAGTAGTCATCAAGCGTGCTGACCGTGATCTGTATGCTCTCATGGTTTACTACCTACAACTTAGATCCAGTTCCGAAAAACGTCTCAGTGACAATGCCAAATCAAAGAGATACAATCACAAAAAGAAGTACTTGCTCACACTGTGATTCGAACACAGGATCTCGTCATAAGCTAATACTAGTGACGCGCTTTACCAACTAAGCCATGCGAGCAATGTTAAATACAGTTGCAAATGAGTCAATAACACTATCATAGGTCCAGACATATGACGGCTTCTTCCGTGCATATGTAACTGTTGCTCAGGGTAAGTATAACGACGTTTGTTTCTTGGTTGTTAAACTTTTACAGATTGACAGGGGTCGGAATAAATATGTCATTACAACCTGACATGCTCTAGAAACTTGACCAGAGGCCGAGAGTGGAAGGGATTTACTGTATACCCGAGCGAAGCTCTACTGGTAAATGATAGTCGCGGTCAAAATCTTGCCTTCTTGGTAGTAGTAAACTTGCCTCCATTTAGGCAGCTTATCCCACTACCCAGCAACCAGACTATACCTAGCAGACGTTGTTTTATATGGACACGTGCCCACCACGTTTTTTTTTTTTTTTTTCGTTTCCTTTTTGTCTCAGGGTAACTAATTACTGGAGGGAACTGACGAGACCAGTGGGAATGTACCCTGGTGGGCCATGGGAACGTAACCAGGATCCAGTTCAAGTTGAGGAGCACGTACCGAACCAGACCACCAGAGCATATATCTGAAGTCATAGCATGAGGCACTCCACAACTTCTACAAGGCTGCTTAGTATCTTCCAGGTTAAATAGAGATGCTATAAAAGCATAATGGGATCCTCCCTGTAAAAATACCAGCTGCCTGGAGTTTAATTAGTAATATTAATGGGCCTTGAGTCTACTATACTGTTTAGGAAAGAGAAAGGTTGGACTCTACTTTCGCGCGACCGGGGGGCCACGGTTGCGGAGGACACGGCTCGGGGAGTGCCGGTAGCTTCATGTTAAGACCGCATTGCTCTATCGCGATATTGTGCCCTACAAACTGCGTGCGACTCACAGTGTGGCTCGCCCAGGCTGCCGTACTTTTGATACAACGCTAGCAGAACTTTATTTAACTGTTGAAGAGGTCAAGAGGTGCGAGAACGGCACAAACAAAAATCAAAAAGTATTTGAGAGTCTTTCTCCCTTCTGTGATGGGGGAAATTGAAAGTATTGTCGCCTCCACTTTCAGGGAAATCTATGGTGCTGGCTCCGATTTTATAGTCTGTCCCGATTCTAACTTTGAATTGGTACCGTTTGGCAGCTCTGCCTTACTTACCGCACTTGATGAGATTTCAATCAAGTGACAACTACTGAACAGTCTAGTCAAAACGTGGATGGGAACTTTGTCTCGTCCCGCAAATTACTAAAAAAGAAAAAAAGAAATAAGCCTCGTTCCGCAATACACTGGGTCATATTGCCAAAAAGTACAGTAAGTAAGAGCACCTTAATCGTGGCATGTAGTGTGGCGGACTTAAATAGGAATGTTACCCTACTGCCAATAGATATAGTGGCAATTATTGGAGTAAGCTATCCCTCGGTCCACACACCAGAAGTTGCGATGGAAGACAATCAGGTTGAGATATTCAATCTAAAATGGGAAGACATATCCAGTACGAAAGGGGCAAAGTTGTACATTCCCTGAGTGCGGGGCCAGATGTAAGACAGAATTCTCGGTAAAGAAACAGAGTCTGCATCGTAATGATGGCGAGCAGAATTTTTCAGCCATAAATGGGGTCCTGTTGGATCTATGACTTATATTCTTAGATATATAAAGCATTGAATTGAGCCTGAGATTGACCCACCAAGCCCAACTGTCTATTCCCTTCTCTGTGTATTTTATTCCCTCAATCCCTCTTAGACTTTCCCATTACCTTTCCGCCTCTCACCCATAGTTGTAGGATAAATTTCCAGTAGAATAAATTGAAGTGATGTTGTTACTATATGCTACATGACACCCGTACTGATAAAAACTATGTAGGAGTGCTCTCAATAGCCGTGTAAAAAGCATCTGTCTCGGAAAGATATATTGTTCATAGGCAGTTTATGTGTTTCTCATTGCGGCATGCTTGGTCTTGTATGAGCCAAAAGACGTTAAAGCTTTGTGTAAGTTAAAAGGCATAGTAGCAAAACTTAGAATAACTATGCTTCGACCCCATCCATTCTGTATTCCGATTGTCAGTCCAACCAATGTTCTCCAACTCGGTAATGGGAGCTTATCAGTACCATGAAGGGGACCATGGAATCAAGATACCATCAACCATAACGGCAGCAGGAGCAGAAGCAACCCTGCACCTGAACAGCAAGCACTCAAGACTAGCTGCCCTGATAATCCTGTGAAGCGGCGCACCTCCCCGCATGGTATTTAGCATTGTCGTCCAATATCACTAACCTACGTAGCTTTCTCAAGCTAGCACCTACACCAAATGACACATTTCAGAGCCAGAAGTGCAGTACCTGTCTGTACATGAGGAGAAGAGCCGACACCGTGGTCCAGGACGCACGCTCCTATTGCCACCAGTGGATAATCTCGTGTTAGCCCTCGACTGCAGCCAGGTTTCAGTGTGACCTTGGATCAAGAAAGAGGAGTACGAATCACGATAAAATCCCTTCTGTCGAGTTTGAATTGCTAATGGGGCAGAGGTATATGTACGGTTCTCCATCTCCGTTGGAACAATCGCCATAGACACAACTGCGTCCTTCGGGGCCCACCCAATGGGAGTTTACAACTCAGAATATCCCGCCAAATAATACTCGTTAGCCTTTGCGGCAACAGAACCTGGAATGTCTTTGCCGAACTAGTGCTAAGTGGTCACCTGAGACCAACTGTAACAGGGGTGAATTTCTTTTCTCTTCCCAACATCGTGTTCTTCCTAGTGATCTGTGATTCAGATGATCTCTTGAGACCGATTAACCACGACCCAAAGTGAGAAATTATGTTGCAATTATGCAGAAATGAAGCTAGCGTGAATCTTCCATTTATGAACGCAAGGCCTCGAAGAGAAAAACTGGAGCAGTTGCAGAACTCCCTATCCTCGTTTGACAGATACAACAAAGACGCCCGATAAAAGTAAAGCCAGAGTAAGATATATGAAACAGTCACATGACAAAGTGTCATGAAGTAAGAACTTTTATTTTGACGGATGTACCTAATTGTGAGTCTGGTATGGGTGGTGATAGCCTGCCCCAGGGATTTGGTCGTACCCCAGGTTTTCTTCTTGCGCCACAGTTGTGTCAGACTAGGCCTGTACCGTGGGACAAGGTTTATCATCCCTTGATCCATGACACTTCCCCACAACTGCCCCACTTCTCCGCACCTTTTATCGTCAAGTCAACAGGTATGGCTGAAGGGGCAAAATAATCGAAACTCCAACATGGGAATTGATGTAGACGCCGACGGCGTCCTACCTAGATATACCAGGTTCCTCAGTGGAGCGCTAGAAGGTAACTCCCGGCCACAGAGGACAGTGGCTTCCAACTGCTTTCCTACCTTCTCACAATACAGTCACTGTGCATATTATCGCACATACCAATTCCAATTATTCTACTACAATAGCAAAATTATTGCGGCTCTTCCCCCCTCTGACTTCTTCTTTCTTGAACTTGAGGGTACGGCTCTGGTCCTTGAAGATCCAGAGCTGGTATAATAGTTTATTGGATAGTTTTTGTCGATGCAGGAAGTAACCCAAAGATGCCATGATGTCAATGAGGCGCTTTTCATCTAGATATCGAGAGTTTGTGACGCACGGTGCGGGTAACACTAGGAATAAGGACGGGAAAAGAGCAGATAATTGTGGATTTTCAAGCTTCGTATGCTGGAGGAACAGGGTAGTTCTTCGTAGCATCTCTCCACGTTGTGCTGGTGATGGTACGTAGTTCAAAACCAAGGATAGCGAAATTATATCAAACTTATTCCCATCATCAGTTGGGATAGGGCGCTCCATGAAGTCTTGAGTCATGATATCTGGATGCTGAGAATGGAGATCTATTCTGGTGACTTGGAATATGGGCGACTTCGAGCACGCATTGGTTGTACTAAGTGCCCCAACTTCCAACAATCGTAGGGAGGGTAGGTCTATCGCTTTAATCGATGGCTGAACCTCCTTAATCCAATCCATCAAAATCTTAGAAGAGTCTCCGCCACGTTTTTCAGATTGACCAGCAATCTATATCAGGTGCAACGCTTATTAGCATTGCCAGTTCAACCCAATTCCCTGGTGCGGGACGGCATTATCACTCACACTCGCTTGCTGGTACCACTCCAACCCCCCATTAGCATCTAGTTCTGCCTCCAGGGCTTCTGCTGTAACGGAGTCGCCTCT